TGTGTCACCTGCCCATCACTTGGTGTCTGGCTCCTTCCTGGGGACAGAAATTCCAGCAGTGTTTCTGTAGGGAAGTGAGACATGAAATAAATGCCCTCAGACAGCTGATTTTCCCTCTCTGCTCTGCTTCTCCAGCTCTGCCCAGAGGGTCCAGTCCTCCCTGCGAGCATGTGTTGCATCTCTGGGAGCAGATTTGGCCCTTCCTTGCCAGAAAGGCTCTTCTGTGGGATCCAAGGTCCCACAGCTGATTGCAGAGCTGTCGGGCTCTTTCGGAAAGAGCAACAGTTCTTTGATACGGTTTTTCCTGTGATGACCTCTTCAGTGGCACTTCCCTAAAAACAGCACTTGCCACCATGAGAGACTTCCTTTCCCACCATTGCTATGGGCTGGGGAGCTCCAAATCCCAGCTAAACCCTGGACTTTGCCTTGGGAGCAAAACCAAACTGCAGCAAACCAGCCGAGCAGGGAAAAACTAGCAGGGGGCAGATTTTTCCTTTGCAGTTTGCCCTAAGTTTGTTGTTCCATTCATTGACAACTACACAGGGAGGCTCCTGAGATGTTCTAATACCTGCCCAGGGGTTTTCCTTCCCCACCCTTTCTTTGTGTGTATCCCACTGCTTGGACCAGTAGCTCAGGCTACTGGCAAAGATGGAAAAAGCACCTTGAGGCTGGATCAAAGTGCCCCAGGCTGGCTAGGGAAGGTGTCTTGGGGTGTAGGATAGGGGTCAGCAGTGTCCTCCTGCTTCTACTGTGTCTCATAACCCCACAGCACCCCCTGGGCTGTGTAATGGGAAGATCCTGATAGGCCAAGTCACCAGCACCTTTGGGAAAGCCCAGGGCTGTGTAAACAGACTCTGCGGAGTTCTGGCTTCATGTTTCTGCTTCATTCCCGTCCTTTATCCTGTGGATAGTTCCTGTCCTGTGTGCCCTTTGAGGGTTGAGGCCAGAGCAGCAGGAACATGGCCAAAGATAAGGGTAAATATCAGTGTGGGGAGAAGGGGCTCGGCCACAGCAGCTTTTCTCCACCCTCCTTTGCTGCTGCTGCAGGTGGGTGGGGAGAGCACTCAGGTGGCCCAGCAGCATTGCTGGAGGGGTCCAGGGACACAGGCATTGTCCTTGAGCTGCCACTGCCAGGCACATGCCCCAGCTGTGGAGTTTTCTGCATCTCAGGACTCGGTGGTGGTGGTTTTGCCCTTCAGGCTGTACCTGTGCTGTGTTGCTTGCAGACCCCTCTGCTCCCCTGTCCTGCACCCAGTGACCTGTGACTGCCCCGGGGACAGCAGAGGCTGTCAGGGTGAGCGTGTGCCACCCCCAGCTTGCTGCTGCTGGGACCAGGACGTCAGCATTTGATGATCTTTCTCCCTCACTGCTCATTCCCCCTGAGCTGTTCCCTGCTCTGGCACTGAGGACCTGCCCTGCTGCAGGATGCAAACCCCAGGATGCTGGTCCAGACCCATTCCCTGCATCCTCCTCCTCCCCAGTGACACTGTAATTACCATTTCAGGCAGTGCACAGGCTCAAGGCAGACCTGGCCATGCACTCAGATGCAGGAGGGGCTACAAGACCCTTTGATGCAGGGCAGTGCTGACCCTGCCAGCACAGGGTAGGGAGATGACACCATCATTCCTCTCTATGGCATCAGGCTTGGCACACCTCCCTCTGGAAGATCCTTTCAGTCCATCCAGCCTGGATACCCAGGCTCTGGCAGGTTGATTATTTTTAAAAAGTCATACAAGGACTGCCAGGGAGAAGGAACTCACCTTCTGGGGTTAAGAGGAGATGAATCCTGCACTTAGCACGTGGTTGGGGCAGGTTTTACTGGAGCCCAGAGAGCCCATGGGGCTGACCTGTAATCACAGTAGCTTTATTTATTGCTCTGGGTTGCAGTGGCATCAGGCCTGGTGAGGAGCTGCCCTTATCTACTGACGTCAGCCTCCCTTGGAGAGAGATCTGGGCTAGATTTATGTGGGAAAGGTTTGCAGCAAGTCCATCCACAGCTGCTCTTCATGCCTTGCCTGCTGCCAAGGAGCCCAGGAGGTCCTGAGCAGGACAGGGCTCGGTCCAGCTGGGAGCAAAGCAGCAGATGGACTTCAAACAGCAAACTCACATCGGGTTTTCTGAATCCAGTGACCAAAAGCTGCTCCGACCTCTGTGGGAAACAGCAGCCCAGGGCTGCTCCTCCTGCATGAAACAGGCTGTTCCCTTCCAAAAATCCCATTTCTGGAACAACCAGTGCTTGTTTTCTTGCCAGTCACCAGCTTCTCCTGCTGCTTGGAGCTGACAGGACAGCAGCACAGGTCAGCTGAGGCAAACCAGCTGTTCTGACCCATTTCCCAGCCCCTGGTGGAGCCGAGGTGTGTTCCCAGCACAACCTGGTGGCAAACACCACCAACACCTATCATTGCTTCTGCTCCTCCAAGCTGAATTGCCAGAAACACAACCCCTGGGTGCTCAGTCTTGTGAGGAGGGAATCCCGTATCCTATTCTGTTTTTTTGACGTGATTTCTTCCCTGGAGTTGTGCTCTTGATAAGAACAGAGACTTGAGATCAGAGGGCATCTCTGTGGACTCTGATCTCTGGGGTGGAGGTTGAGCCAGCACCCTGGGAAACTTGAGAGTCCAGCTTTTTAAAGGCTTCATTGTACAGTCCACAAAGAGCTACAAAAGCCATAATAAACATGGCACCAAAGGTCAGCTCCCACATCTGGAGTGCCTGAGGGTTGGAGCCAGTTACTGGGATGCCCCAGTGTGACCCCAGCACTAACGTGCCCATATTGAGGACTGGCAAACCAAGTGCATCAGAAGATCCCTGAGCAGCCCCATGTGCATCACTGGGACCTGTCACCCTAATCCTGGTGCTCAGCCCTTGCCCATCACCACCCCATCCTGATCCTCCAGGGCTGCTGACCATATGGCTGTGCCTGTCTTGCTCTGGCCAGGGGCTGGAGGCTTTGCTGCAGCAGCAGCTCCCAGGGAAGGCAAGTCCAAGCTGTTTCGTGACCAAAATGAAGTCCTGCAAAGCCCATTGGGGTGAGGAAGGGGTCACAACCCCCCTCATGAGCTACCTCCAGGGTCTTTGGCCAGACACAGGATGAGCCATCTTGGACCTTGGACACCAGTGCTGGGAAGAAAGTGTGGACCTGGGGAAGGCCAGATATGAATACACATGCCTGGCTGAAATGCTCCCTTTGAGGAAAGTCTTCCTCCCCTATTAAGTAATTAAATAAAGCTCCGGGCTCTACTAAAATTAAAATAACAGAATCCATTTATTCTGGCAGGGCTCGCTGGTGGCTGCTCTTGCCAGAAACATTTTTGTGGTTCTTGTCTTTTCAAGTGGCTCTTTTGCAATAAAACCCAGATGCCATTAGTCCGAGGAGGCCTCCAGGCAACTGTTTATGTCCATGAAAGATGCCCTTTGTAATTAATTAATCTCCCCAGTGCTGTGGTAGCACATTCCCGGGGCTCCTGGTGTGTCCCTGCCTGCTAGCCCAGCAGTGGAGGTGTTTGTTCATTCCTGGGCACTGAGGGACACTTTGTGTTGCAGCCTGGCCATGGAAGGGGTTAATCTGCTCCTTGGGAAGGCACAGCTGAGATTTCAACACTCACCAGAACACACACAGAAGTCAGTGCCATCCTGCTGCCCTTGTCCTGCTGCTGGTTCAGCAGCTCCTGCTCTCACTCAAGAGCAACTCTGAGTTGCAGGAGGCTCTTACAGGGGCAGAGACCAATGGGGACTAAGCTGGCAGGCAGTGGGGAGGGGGGTATGACCTGGTTCCTTCGCCCTTCCAAGGGTTCAGGTGCTTCCAGATGACTCAATCATTGCAGAGCATCACCACCACATCAGAGAAATGTGAGTTTGATGCATTTGGGGGGAAAAAGATGATTCATAGAATGATTCATAAAATGGAAAAGACCTTAAAGATCATCTTGCTTCAACCCCCTGCCAGGGGCAGGGACACCTTCCACCAGACCAGATTGCTCCAGGCTCTGTCCAACCTGGCCTTGAACCAGAGATGAGGCATCCACAGCTTCTCAGGGCAACCTGAGGGCCTCCCCACCCTCACAGGGAAGAATTTCTTCCTAATATCCAATCTAAACCTGTCTTCTTTCACTTTAAAGCCATCAGTCCTTGTCCTATCTCTCCATGCCCTTGCCAAAAGTGAGGCTGCCCTGAGCAAAACCCCATCCAACCAGCTGCACCAGGCCAGAGCAAGGACACTTCCAGCCCAGTGCCTCCTTCCAGATGGTGGCTGGTATCAGGTGTCCATAGACAAGTGGATGAAGGCTGGGGATTGGAGGTCTCCTCCTGTAACCTCCTCCCAGTTGAGGGCAATAGGGGCTGGGGGCTCCCCATGGCTCAAGTGGCTCTGGGTCTCCCACATTTCATTGCCACCACTTTATTTCAGCCACCATAAATTTGGCCAGTATGTTTCTGAACCATTTATGCTTCTGGCCTTCTCAGCATCAAGTGATGGCAAATTCCACCGTAGAATTATGTGTCTGCTTGGCAAGGGCCACCTTTAGTTCAGCAGTGATTCCCTTTGTGGCTTCACAGCCTTCAGGATGTGTGAGAGCTCTCTCATACCCCTCAGCTTGTTTATTCTTCATCCTGAGTGGCCCAAATTCTTGGAGTTTCCCCTAAAGAGAAACCCTCAGCAAAGATCTGGCTTCTCTAGGACCATGGCTTTGCTCAGCCTCCGTGTAATATGGTTGCAAAGGGAATTGCTTTGGGGAAGGGTCATTCCTTGCTCTCTCATTTGTAACATAACAGCCTGGGGTTTGGTTGTTATTGGTGTTTTTAGCCATTGTTGGCTTTTCATTGTTGCTTTTTTGATAGATGAGTTTAATTTTGCTGGCATATTGCACAGGTTTGCAAAGCAGCTGTTGCTGCTGCAGGACGGAGCAGTTCATCACTGAGCACGGGTGTCACGGCCTCAGAGGGGTCAAAGCTGAGGGCTCGGGGCGTGGGGGGCTGCAGTTGCCTTGAGAACTGCTGGTGGCATGGCAGTGAACCTCACTGGTGCTGCAGCCACCTGCCATCCATCTCCCATTCCCCCTGGGAAGGACGGGACCGTCGGAACATCAGCCGCGGAGAGGGAAACGCTGCTGAGAGCCCGGAAGGCGGGGTGGGTTCATGTAACCAGCTGATGGTGGTGTGAATCACTGGTGTTTTGTAGATGCTGGTCCTGTCTGGGGGTGATACACAGGGTGATGTGTGTGAGGGGATGGGATGTGGTGTGGCAGGCAAGGAGGAGCAAGGAGAGGAGCTGGGAGTGCCCAGGAGGAGCAGTCGGATGCTCATATGGCTCCTACACCTTGCCTTGTTTAACATGGAGGGCCTCAGGTTACCCTGCCACCAAATCCTGTGGTCCTTTAGCAAACCACACCCATTCCTGGGCCAGGAGGGCTCTGAAGTCTCACAGGCACATTGGAACAGGATGGACCCTGGCCTGAGCCCCAGGTCCCCTCCCACTCCCATCTAGGACAGCTTCCCGAAGCAGCCTGTGTGTAGGATGTCTTGGGGTGAAAGAAGGAAATTGCTGAGGTCAGGGAGCTGATGTTGCACATTTTTATGTGCTGCCACCTGGAAAATACCAAAAGATAAAGTCTTGCATCCGGGCCCTTGAAAATCCCTCTGTCCTGCAGGAAGGGAGTGTTGTTACTCCAGGAATTCACTGTTATTCCAGGGTATTTAAGCCACTGTGCAGGAAAGCCCAGTGTGGGCAGGGAGGAATTTAAAGGGATAGGGCATTAGGATTGTGGGGATGTGCTGTATTCTCACAGTGCCATTGCAATGAGGGAGGTGGGATCCCATCAAGAGGGGAGGCCTTGAAGAGGCCAGGTGAGTTCAGGTCTAATTCCAGGTAAATGGGTAGGTAAAGGAAGCAGGAAATCAGGAACAAGCTCAGATCTCTGCAGAATCAGAGTATTATGGGTCTCCTGAGAAGGAAAGAGCTGGGCTGGAGATGTGATGCTCAGGACCATCCTCCCCTTGGTACCTGGGACATGCCCACAGCACTGCCCACACCCAGCTCCCCCACCCCACCCAGGGGGTTCTGGCTCTAACATGTCCCTCTGTCCCCTCATCCCAGGGACCTGATGCCCAGGACGCTGGAGGGGCAGATCACCATGGAGAAGACCCCCAGCTACTTCGTCACCAAGGAGGCCCCCGCCCGCATCTCCTCCATGTCCAAGGGCACGAAGCTCATCGTGGTGGTGCGGGACCCCGTGACCAGAGCCATCTCGGACTACACCCAGACGCTCTCCAAGAAGCCCGACATCCCCACCTTTGAGAGCCTGACCTTCAAAAACAGGACTACGGGCCTGATCGACACCTCGTGGAGCGCCATCCAGATTGGCATCTACGCCAAGCACCTGGAGAACTGGCTCCTCTACTTCCCCATCGGGCAGATCCTCTTCGTCAGCGGGGAGAGGCTGATCAGCGACCCCGCGGGGGAGCTGGGCAGGGTCCAGGACTTTCTGGGCCTCAAGAGGATCATCACCGACAAACACTTCTACTTCAACAAAACCAAGGGGTTCCCGTGCCTGAAGAAGGCGGAAGGCAGCAGCAAACCCCACTGCCTGGGGAAGACCAAAGGCAGGACCCACCCCGACATCGACCAGGAGGTGGTGCAGAGGCTGCGGGACTTCTACCGGCCCTTCAACATGAAGTTCTACCAGATGACGGGGCAGGACTTTGGCTGGGACTGAGGCTGAAAAAAAAAAATAATTTAAGAAAAGGAAAATATAATATAATATATATATTTTTTTTACGTATCAGTAGAGAGGGGCGAAATACAGAAAAAAAAAATAATAGTTGTGCCGAAACATGATTTGCTCTGATTTATTCTTTTCTTTTATCGCTGCTTTGTCTTCTGGCTTCTCTCAGAGAAGAGGTGGTGTGTCCACCCTCCACAAAAAGGAGGTTGTGAAGAGCAACCTGGTCCTGTCGACATCACCTGCAGCTTGGCTGCTTCCTTCCATGGGCCCAAGGTTTAGCACTGCCTCTGTAAAAGAAATGCAGGTGTAAAGTTCTTAGAAGTGAGAGGGTGCTTGGGGGAGCTCAGGGTCTTCCTGAAAGGTCATCCAGATTTTGGCTTGCAAGTGCCATTTTAGGCCAGACCTCGCCGCTTTTGACAATAAAACAAAGGAGGCTTAATACCTAATTTGGCTTTCCAAACCTTACCCTAGGGGGTTTTTTATTGCATGAAACATTTGGTCAATTTTTCTTCATTTATCCAATTTTTTGTTTTACCTTTACCCCCACTAAATCAAGCTCTTTTCATCAACTAAACTTCTTTTTCCTCTTATAGAAGCCAAAACCAATAATCCTTTGTTTTGTTTTGAGACAAAATAATTTTGGTAGCCAAAAGTGAAAGGAAACAAATGATTCTTTTGACTCTGTGATGAAAATTGCCAGGTAGTCAAAAGACCTCATTCACAGGAGCTGGCTCTAAACCAGAGTTCCCTATTGCATCCCTTTTGCTACACTGACAGCAGGATCCTTTTCCAAGGGGGCCCCTCTGAAGGGGTTTTGGGGATGGGAAAGTCCACAGTGAGAGGATGCTCGTGGCACACCAGTCTTGAAGGTGATGGGGGACCCACCATCCCACTACACGTGTGTAGGAAACTTCTGGGTGACTGGCAGATGCAATTTAAGCCATAATGATGAATATTTTAAGTTGGGCCAGTCTTAAATACAGTAGAAGAAGGGTTGGTTGGGAAAAATTCAACAAAATGCATGTCCAGAAAGGGGAATGAGAAGGCAATAGTTCTTTCCTAATTGAGAGCTGAGTGGGAAGCAGGAACAAGAGCATTGGTTGTGAAGGGCTTTAAAAATTGCCAGGCAAAACCAAGCTCCTTTATCACCTTTTTTTGGCTGATGGAAATGTCTCAGCGACAGAAATCTATTAGTGAAGCAGGATCTTGTGTTGCCACGGGCTCATTTATCTGCTGGTTCTTGATCTTCAGCATTTTCTGGACTAAAGGAGTACCCAGTTATCTCTTGGTGCTGCATAAACACAACAGGAGGGTGAGTCCAGCTTTCAAAAGACCCTGATGGGGTAAAACAAAGTGGGGGATCGTCTGGGAGTCTGGTTAAGAAGAAGCCTGGGGATGAAGCTCACTGGCTGCCTACACACCAGCCAGGATCTCAATAAAATCACAACAGAGCAGAGATTTCAAGGAGTCCAAAGAGAATTGATCTGAAATTATGATTTAACCCGAGAGGGAGGCATTTCCACCTTGGCAAGTTAAGGAAAACAGCTTGGATGCCACTCAGCCTCATGGCACCAAGTTCACTGCAGGTGCTGAGCCACATTCCCTCCTGGCTACTCCAAGCCACCTTCCAGCTCATCCTTATACACCTCCTTCTGTTCCCAAGGATGCAGAGTCCTGGGACCTTCCTGTCCTCTAAAGACACAAACCCTCAGGGTTTCCCAAGGCAGGCCCATTTCCCAAGGGAATTAAAATAACTTCCCTAGTGTTACAAGGCTCCAGGAGCTTCTCCCACTGTTGTCATCCCAAAACTCTACCTGAGCCCAGGTTTCTGTGTCCCAACTGGTGGAGTGATGGGTTGGTGGCACCAAAGCTGGGCTGTGCTCAGCAGCTTGTCCTGGCCTGGCAGGGCTCAGTACCACCCTCACTACCTCCACTGATCCCTTCACCCCCTGCCCACCATTCCTGTTCCACTGTGCCTCTTCTTAAGCCCCTTTTTGGCAATGTTCATCTGGATACACATTTTGCCTGATTGCCTTCTGCAAACACCTTGTGGCAGAAAGGCACACGAGGCACCACACACAGACCCCCAACAGACCTTTCTCTTCCCTGCCTCCCTTCAGCCCCTCGATGTTCATGCAAGAAATGACACAAGAACATCAGAGATGGTCACACAGCTTTGGCTCTATGGGGTCGTGGGCCCTTCCAGCTCAAATCAGAAGAAGCTGGAAGATTGTTGGGCTCTTGGTGATGGTCTCCCCAGTGTGTCACTGAAGGTGAGGGGAGCAACCTGCTCTCTGCCCATGCTGGACAGATCAGGGGGGAATGGGCTTATGGTGTAACCAAAAGGATTGGGGGCAGTTATTGGGAAAAACATTCTGAAAGCAAAGCTTGTTGGAGCAGAAATGGGAGATGGACACCATCCCTCCCACCCTGTGCTCTTCCATTCAAATGCAAAAGTCAAGGTGGCAGCGAGGACAAGGCATTGTTCACTCCCAGGCACAACCAAAATGTGCCAGCAACAGTGAGGCACAGAGTCTGAGGTCTTCCCAGCTGAAAAAAAGGTTTAAGGGTGTCATTTCTTTGGTATTTAAAGCAGAACTAAGGTTGGGATAATAAGTACAAGCCTTGGACAAGCTTCCTTGGTTTAAGCCCAGCTGGGATCTCAGCCCCACATCGCTGCTCATTCGCTCCCCCAGTGGGATGGGGGAGAGAATTGGAAGAGAAAATCTGAGAAAACCTGCAGGTTGAGATAAAAACAGCTTGATAGGTAAAGCAAAAGCCATGCATGCAAACAAGGAATTCATTCCTCACTTCCCATGGCAGGAAGGTGCTCAGCCATCCCCAGGACAGCAGGGCTTCATCACACATAACAGTGACCTGAGAAGACAAAACACCACCCCTCCAAAAATCCCCTCTTCCCTTCTTTCCCTGCTTTTATGTATTGACCATGATGCCATATGGCCTGGGATTTCCCTTGGCTCAGTTGGGGTCAGGTGTCCTGGCTGTGTCCCCTCCCAGCTCCTTGTCCATCCCCAACCTCCTCCCTGGTGGGGTGGGGTGAGGAGCAGGAAGGGCTCTGACTCCGTGTGAGAACTGCTCAGCAATAACAAAAACATCCCTGGGTTATCAATACTATTTCCAGCACAAATCCAAACCCTAGTCTCATACCATCTCCTGTGAACAAAATTAACTTCACCCCAGCCAAAACCAGCACACAAGGATAAATATCACTTATGGGTATGATTTTAAAAAAAAATCAATATAGTTATATTGCTGTTGTCTCCCATACAGCCACATTTAGACTCCTATAAAGCAGCTTTAAAGTGCTGCAGGTCGTTCTGCCCATATTTCACAAGCCACAGCAATACCAAGCACATTCATACAAATGAGTTTCTACAATTGCCACCAAATCCCTGTCAGTAAATCAGCAGAGCTTTGATATGGTACCCAAGGCCATCGTATGTGCCTTTAAAACACTCTTCCCAGCGCACTGAACCCGGCCACACAGACATACTTTCCCCTAAATGCTTGAATGTTTTACTTCCCCTCATTTCCGAGGGTTTGATTCCCTTGCTGCACACCTTGTAAAACTATTTAGGGATCTGAGACTGTGATTGATTGGTTTTGATCTGGGCCCTAAGTATTTTTGAAAATCCTTCCACGTATGAACAATGGCTTTTAAAAAGAGGTCATGCAACCAAATTGCTTTGAACTCTAATAGCATTTAAGCCCCTAAACTCTTTAGGCTTATTTGAAAATCCAGCCATGAAGTTTAGATTATTTTAACCTAAGAAGAATTGGAAGTAAACTGTTGAAAACCGCACCCCTCGTGGGCCTGCAGTGCTGAGCATGTGCATTGGAGGGGAAAGTAAAAGTAGCTAGAAATAAAAAGGTGACTTGTAAAGTGCTTATTTATTTATTTTATTTATTTATTTAGAGCAGAAAAATCTATACATTAACTATGAGATACTAATGAGTGTATTAAAATGCTTCAGAGGTCTCAATCATCAAATCTGCCATTAGGCACTGATGAAGCTTAGGCTTATATGCCATGAGACATTTGGATTTTAGAACATTTGTTTTAAGACCAAAACAAAAACCCCACCAACATTTACGGGGCATCCTGCCAGGATCAAATGCCAAATCCATCACAAGGAAGTTTTTTACAAAGAGGGTGGTGAGGCCCTGGCACAGGTTGCCCAGAGAAGCTGTGGACTCTCCATCCCTGGAAAATGTTCAGGATCAAGTTGGCCTTTAAAGGTCCCTTCCAACCCAAACCATTCTGTGATGCCATGATCTTTGAGTAGACAGACACAGCCCCTTCCCCCCCTCTTGCAGCACTGTCCTGGTGCCCCTGGGGCTCTCTGGGGTCTGCACAGCACCTTGCCCAGCCCCACAAATGGCACCACAGCCCTCCTGCACTGAAACCACCAGGAGCTTGGGCTCAGGGGTGCTGAGCACAAGGATTGCCCCAAAGTCTTCCAAAAATCACTGTTTTTCTCGCTGTTGGTGACGTGCTTTGGACAGGCTTGTAGATTCAGAGAGGCGATTGAAGGTGAGACCTCCCTTTAACCCAGTGCAGCAGCAGCAGCTTCCAGCCAAACCTGAGCTGTGGGAAGGTCCTTTGCACTCTATTTCCACTGGCCACACCTGAAAAATATCAGAAATGGGGTTTTCTTTACCAGTGAAGTTTGGCAAGACAAAACCAGGCCCCTCTGCTGCTGCAAATTCCATTGCTGCCACTCCTGGAAAGGCAAGGACGAGGTTGCTGTGCCCACGTTGACCTTGGAGCTGATTTTGTGGTATGAGGAGTTTAACCAACTCCTCTGGAAATGCTGCCAGTCAATAATTTACACAGTTAGAAGGAATATATCCACCAAGGTGCCTTGAAGATCAGTGTTGGGGACTCCTCTGTGTGGTTTCAGGGTGGTCTTTGGGGTCAAAGTCAAATTCCCAGTGATGATTTGGCCTTGCCCACCCTGCTCAGAGTGATTTTGAGCCACACTGATCCTCAGCCTCCTTGGTTCTCCCCCACTAACCCACACAGTGTCAGGTCTCCAGATGAGGGGGGAAATTCCCCATTTTCTTAACCATTAAAAAATTTCTTGAT